TCGTCCCAAAAGCAACCTATTCACTCCGACCCTAAAGTCCCAGGTTACAAAATTACCACCTTCGCGTCTATGTCATGACATGGTATGGCGTGTTGGGTACATTTTGGGTTTGTTGTCAATACATATCTCAATGTGACAAAGGCAGTTCAACGGTTGAATTAGGTCAAGTACGTATCAGAAATAGGTACCTAATTGTATAAGTAAGGAACGAGGAAATCCATTGGGAAAAAAGGATACCCAAATGTAAATAAGACGTATTATATTTGTACTTATACTACTCAGGATGATAGATTGATTCGGTAATCGAAATGTTTTCATAAAATTAATTGAAAGAACAATATAATTATTAAGCAACTAGATATCCTCACGCGATTTCATCCGCTCTGCTCAGTTCCTATTTATCGTAGCGTGATGTTTTATAGACTATTGTCTTCCTCGATAAATGGCACTATCCAACACAAAAATAATTATTTAAATAGGGCCAGTAGTTCCAGAAGATTATCGCGTTATAAAAAACTTCATCTTCATCGTACACTAGCGACCCGCCCTGGCTTCGTACGGGTGCAATATGCATTTATTATACATACAAACCTTCCTTAAGAATCACTCTATTTAATGAAAAAAACCGCATCAAAATCCGTTGCGTAGTTTTAAAGATCTAAGCATACATAGGGACAGACAGACGGCGGATAGCGACTTTGTTTTATACTATGTAGTGATTGAAAAAATAGTAATTTTGAGTATAATATATGAGTGGTATAATGTGCAACTCTGCCTACCCCTTCGGGGATAAAAAGGCGTGATGTTATGTTATGTTATGTAATTTTGAGTACTTGCCAACTAGTCAAAGTCAATACTTTTTTCGAACTGTCAAAAACGACAGTTTTCTAAAATTTTTGTACGAGATTGTATATTGTGACGTCACATTTTTTGAGCGTCAAACAACATACTATATTTCGTAAAAAAAATCTGAAAAAATACTAAAATTAATCTGGTCATAAAATCAATCAATGATAGTGTGATTATTTTTTAATATTTTATTGTATTGAACAAATAAAATAAATTATTTCGAATTTATTTTTGATAAGGAAAGTACACGTAGATTAGGATACCTACCTAAACAGATAAATCACGGTATCTCGAGTTGAATTCATTACCTAGGTATTATAGGTACACGCCTACGAACCTAGTTCAAAACTTGGTTTATAAATATAAATTACAAGCTACCTATTATTGGTATTTATAAACAAGAAGTCGATAAAAACAAACAAATAACTTCAAATAAATATCTACCTACTGGATTTTTGTTATTCATTTAAATTTAAACTAAGAAAAACAATTTCAACTAGAATAAGTATCCATGGGACATTGAAACAATACCTAATATCACTTATAAATGACTGAAGCACCGAGATGTCAGTGGTTATTTATGTGTGCGTGTGTAATTGGTTACCACGTTACCAGACCTGATAAATGTCCTTTTTGTCAATGTGTGTATATTCGGCGTGTAAATCTAGGTATAGTAGCCAGGTGCCACAGTTGCTGTTTCAAGACACTGTATCGCCTTTTATTCAACGTCATAGCTCGTACCTTAAGAAACATTTTTCAATTATAATAAGGTTCTACATAAGTATACTTAGGTACTAAAATCATTTACGCCGGCTACACATATTCGCATTATGATTTCGACGACGAAACTCCAACGCGAACTGACGCAAATAGAGTTAGACAAAGGTCGATGAAATTGCACAAAAACTAATCGATAATTCTACTAAACGAAATGGTTTCATCGGAAAACTACTCAAGTTACGATAAATTATTAATTAAATGACTATGTGGGTTGAGTATATGACATGGAATTCCAAGAAAATAATTTCTTATAAATGTCGTAGATAATTGAATTTTGTATCTGCTAATGTTTACGCAGAGTTATTATTTGTTACTAGCTTGTGTCAGCGACATCGCTTGTGTGGAATTTGAGTTTTTTATCTGGTAGTTCGAGATTTTGAAATAATAATGGAACTTAGTCTACATTTATGTATGAAGCGTATGATTTTTCTAATGAATAATGTTTTATGTGAATGACTTTGGAGCTTATTCAGTACAAACGAATGAACAATCAACCTATCCTCATTATAATATTAGTGTAGTTTTCTTCGTACAAGAAATAAATTACCTGCCTCGTTGGCCGAGTGGTCGCATGTGCGATTGCCGGGCAAGGGGTCTCGGGTTCGATTCCCGGGTCGGGCAAAGTATTACTGGGTTTTTACAAAACTCTCAGTAGTAGCACGGAGTCTGGAATTGTGCCCGGTATATGGCAATAGGCTCACCCCCTATTACATGGGACTCATAACATAAATAGTGAAAAGTGGGTGTTACATTGTACAGTGGCATAATGTGCACCTCTGCCTACCCCTTCGGGGATAAAAGGCGTGATGTTATGTTATGTAAGAAATAAATTAGAATAGAAATTGAAAACGTAACTTGAGAATATCTTGCTCGTTCTTATAGGAATTTACATTTTCAAATGAGCAACTAGCTTCACTAAAGAATCGACAGACTGATAGACAATTTTATTGCATTCTATTTTAAAGTCTCTTCGGTGGATTATTAGAAATGGATGCTTGACTTTATCTTCGTCAAATATTATGGTGACATTTCTACAACAATTTTATGTCTTAGATTTTCTTGTTGTACAGCATATTAACAATTTTCATACATATATACCTACTTTACGTCCTATGTCCAATTGGGTTAAGCAGAGACAATTGAACGCAAAATGAAAATAATGATGTTGATTAATTATGTGAATCAGTTTTGTACGCCAACGTTAGATGTAAAAGATATCGATTATTTTTTATTTTTAATTTTGATTCATACTTAAGAATAACTATTATAACTTTGAAAGCAGATCTCCATAGTGACAAAGAAATTTGGGTAAAATGTACACTTCTGCCAATGTCTGTAGGGTAAAACCTTAGTAATAGCAAACTGGGTTTATTATGGTATCCCTGGTAACCTCGGCGACAAGTTAAATGTAGTGGAAGTCATAAGAATGGTAAGTTTAGAGTACCCAGTCAGCTGGTAACAGTTAAAGGTCTTTGGGTCACCACTTAAACAACGCATGTTTATTATATTTTATGTTATTCTTAACTCATAAGTTTAATTATTACTTACATAGGTATTTAATAAGGTAATATTCAATTTTAACTTAGTGTCTTATTTTAGAAGTTAATATTCAATTTCAATTTAATTTTGTGTTGTAATTTTAACAAGTTTATAATTTTAATGTTTTATTAATATTGACTATTTTATCTATAAGACGACAATCATAGTAACTATGTCTAAGGTGAGTTAAATCATTAATACTACCTACGTCTTTGATAAAATTATTCAGCCAGTTGAATATCGTAATGAATTTCATTTTCAAATTAAAATCATGATTCATCCAAGTTAATGCATGTATCACAAACAAAAATAGACTGCACGGTTGGCCCGGACGGTGGACCACCGGCTGCCGTGCAACGTAAAGTTGGTTCAATTCCCGGAGCAACTCTCAGTGTGATCTTCAAATTGATGTTCCTGGTCTGGGTGTCATGTATGTAACATTATATGAATAAACGCACCTACGATAATGGAGACAATGTTAGCGTAAGGCAACGATTTGTTTTTTAAATATTATCGAATTCAAAGCTTCAAGCCACGAAGAATGATACAATACAACATATATATAGTTGCCTGCCTTGTTGGCCGACTGGTCGCAAGTGCGACTGCCGGGCAAGGGGTGTCGGTTTGGATTCCCGGGTCGAGCAAAGTATCACTGGGTTTTAAAAAAGTCTCAGTAGTAACACGGAGTCTGGAAATGAGCCCGGTATATGGCAATTTCAAAATATGGCTCACCGCCTATTACATGGGTCTCATAACATAAATAGTGAAAAGTGGGTGTTACTTCTGTGTGCACCTCTGCCTACCCCTACAGGGATAAAAGGTGTGATGTAATGTTATGTTATGTTATATAGTTTTGCTACATACATACATAACCTCACGCCTGTTTCCCATGAGGCTAGGCCTAGACTGAGACTGTGGAACAGCAATAGTTTATCTAAACAACATAATATGAAATACACGTACTATTATAAATATTTATAACTTTCAAACAAGAACACGGTCCCTTGTCCAAGCAAAACTACTGAAGCGAAATTGACAAGGTGTAAATCGATTGCCTGTCACCCGGGAAATACATAGGTGTTTTTTAGTTACAAACGACACAATTATAAATGTTCTGTACCTATGTCAGGTAGGTACCTAAAATTTTCGACGAAATAACAATTTATATTGTAGGTTATGTTCTAGCTACAAATTGAAAACGTGAGTTTTTAAATGAAGAAATTATTTTTGTGTTTTCAATTACAATTCTAGTTACGGAAAATCTTTTTTTTAGATTTAACCGTTTAACTTTCAACAGAGTTTTAACTCGTCGAGTACCGTCATTATAGACACAATTATAGAACAATAGGTTGCGGTCACCGGTGACCGCTTGGTGTTTGGCAGTTTAATAGCTATTGTCTGAGTACTGTTCATTTTATTGCTGTATTGGTAGGTACCTACCAACTGTTAGGTCCAATCAAATAATAGTAATCAAATAATAGTCGGTCTAACAAAATATAATTTTATTATATCTTTAATTTTGCTTCATAATGACTAGCTTGCTACCACGCAACACAACTAGTCGAAGAAAAAGAATTTTAAAACTACTTCTCGCTTACCATCTGATGTAAAAATCTTTAATCGAATAATTCATACAACACTCGAATAAAATTAACAAATCGTGAAACAAATTCATTAATTAAAGACATTAACAGCTTGTATTCATCAGGAAGCCAACAGTTGGTTACACCCTAATTAAAAATTCGAATTTGGAATATCGATAAACACCGCTCTATTTTTTTGTACGAGCTTACACGATATCGCTGCGGCGCGCGTCAGTCGAGCCTTCTCGCTCGTGGTGTTTGGATGTGAGGGAATTTCGCGCGCTCTCTCACTAAAATTACGTCGCTCGTAAAATTGACGATATACAGATGGATTTCAGTGTAATGTTAAACAGTTTTAAGTTTTAGCTCGCAAATGGAGCATTTTTATGGAGTTTGGTGTGTGATTAAAATGTTTTATTGTGACGGGATTATGTGAAAAAAGATTTATTGTGGTGTGGTTTGTGTCTAATCCGTGTTAAAGAATTCTGGGTAATACAGTGTCTGTGCAGTATAACAGGTTAGTTTGTTTCAATTGCTAGTTTTAATCTGTAGGGCTAGGTGTACTAGGCGTGTAGATTATTAAAACCAGCCTGACGGACTTGTCATAACGGCGCGTTCAAGAAATGTCCGATCATTCCGATCCGTAGTATTGGCCGATAAGACACGGGAACTGAGATTGTAGCCTTGTCGGTGTTATTATATTTATTTTGATAACTAAAGGCACACAGACAAGTTGACACGGTACACTAAAATTCTCAAAATGTCGTCTCGCTCGAATTTAAAATGTCGTTGAAATTTGAATTTGGAATGACGAAAAATTACGTTTCCTGTCTTTTAAGCGTCGGTATCTTATTATGTTATTTCATTTTAATAATCAAAACGAAATGCAATGTGGGACAGTTTTGGCTAATCTAAAATTTATTACTTGCAATGAGATATTTAGGTACCTATATTTTAATCAGTTTTACATTGTGAATATTCAACTGTCTTCAGTCTTGAAACACGGTACACCTACTTATTAAAAGCTACCCCACCCTGTCGCGTGATGTTAACACCACATACCTACCTAATTCTCATAAAACTTGCATAGTAAGCGGAAATAGTAATTTCAATTTTCTATTCAATTAATAAAATCGATGCCCGGATACAAATTGCATTCAATCGTTGGTTTATTCAAATGTAATTTGTTAAAATCGTTCTTAAATGTGAACACGGAATTTCTCCGTATTTGTAGGTATTTTTATTGGCTAGAAAATGATTATTAGCATTTAGCTAATAGGTACAAGTTAGCCGATCAGCAATCGGTGATACTTCAAGTAGACGTTTTATGCCTACAACGGCTGTAAGTAGAATAAAAAACAGCAGCGGAATATTAACCATAGGCAGGCCCTAGGTATAAAAATACCAACATTTCTAACAAAAAGAACGTTATATTATCCTAATTGTATCTCATTAGTGTTGTTCTTGTTTTTCTTGCTATTAAAATGCTTGGTATAATTTCATAAAAGTATAAACGTAGCCATTTTTGTGGTGTTCTTCTCTATTTTCAAATGCTACACGGGTTGGCTCGCGGTTTTTTAATCTTTCACCTGTATTCCAAGAAGTCTATTGACGTAAAAACGAACAGCCTAAATAAATTTCGGATACACCCATAGAACAAACAAAGTCGATGTTCTTATGGATTTGCCGAATCATAAAGTCGTTTTTGATCACAGTCTTCGTTTAATCTCAGAGACTGAAAAAATATTTTTTTTAAAAGAGTAACGATGGAGTTTCTTGCTCGTTCTTCTCCACTCGAAACTACACTTTGGAACGAGCGCCTAGTTTCACTGACAGGCAGACGGACGGAAAATTAATTTTTTCAATACCCATTTAAGTAATTAATTGAAATAAATGCTTTGAGTTTGACTTTGATTTGCGATTCTTGATGAATATTTGAAGTCACAAATTCGACTTTAGAAATGATCTGTCTATACCTAGCATTAAAATAGTGTCTGGAATTGAGATTGGTGCAAAATTATAATAGGAATGAGAGTCTTTTAAAATAATAGATAGGATTCGTAACATTATTGGCAAAAAGTGGGTGCTACATTTGAGCACATCTGCGTGTAGGTACCTAGTTTACGAGAAATAAAATTAGGTACATACCTATCGCTACTAATGTTGCTACACTAGAATCTAGATACGCTTTCAAAAATAATTCTGTCACTAAAAATCTATATTAATTATATAAAAGAAAGTCGTGTTAGTGACACTATTTATAACTCAAGAACGGCTATATCGATTTGGATGAAAATTGGTGAGGATGTAGCTTAGAACCAGGAGACGGACATAGGATACTTTTTACCCAATACTTATTTTTTACTTTTAACCGAAAAACAAGAACGGGTACGGGAAATATCGGGATTGCGCGTACGAAGTCGCGGGCAGAAGCTAGTTCTTTATGAAATAACGCAGTTGAACGACATACCTATCAATACGATTTCAAATCAAGTATCATTTCAATATTCAGGCGTAAGTTATTCAAACACAAGGTTTGTAGTTATTTTTTACCAAATACTGTGTCATTGTCATTCCTATGAATTTGACATGCAAACGAAATTTATTGTTCAGACCTACAAGACGATTCGAATTTTAGCATGTAATTTTAAACGTTACATAAGGTTGTAAAATCACTTCTGTGATGTAGGTAACAGAGAAAAAAGTAGGCTTGGTCGCGGAGAACCTAACGGGTAACCGAGGCTCCGGCTCGACGTGCAGGAGAAGGAACGGGGTGGTTTTTAGTCAGTAAGAGTCTGACACTCCCTTCCGCTTCATCCAGGCGGGAGCAGTCATTCGATGATTTTCCCCCTTAAAAAAAAAAATAAAAAAAAAATACCGAATAACATATCCAATATTATTTTAGTAAAATGCCATAGTTTTGCTACGTATTTAAGTGGGTAGGTAAACGTAGGTAGGTATTTCCTTTCGATGAAGATTGAAATACGATAAATTAAATACCTATTCGTTATATTCTCAAAGGCAACTAAAATCGAATCAAATATTTTTTTTAATTTTCCGTTCTCATCAAAAGCACATTCCGTCTCTTTCAATTTCTGTTTGAACAGGGCTCGGTATCGTAGGTCACAAAGTCTTTGGAATCAATGAAGTCTAGATATTCTTCATTTAGATAACAATGTCTTGAATCCTGATCCTAAATAATGAAATTTATAACAGAACCATATCAAATTGATAATAATTGCCTAAAGATCTAATTGGGGAGTTGTGTGTGTGTGAGTAAAATTCTTTATAACGCAAAGTAAAATTCTCCTGACACCTTTTTTCGCCAGTTATAATAAGCAGAGGCCCACATTACGGCACTTAATGCCACTGTACAGTGTAACACCCACTTTTCACTATGTATATAATGAGTCCCATGTAATAGGGAGTGAGCCATATACCGGGCATATTTCTAAACTCCGTGCTACTACTGCGAATTTGTTAAAAAACACACTAATACTTTGCCCGACTCGGGAATCGAACCCGAGACCCCTTGCCCGGCAGTCGCACTTGCGACCACATACATAGAATCAAATTAAATCACTACATAGTATATAAAACCAAGTCACTATCCGCCGTCTGTCTGTCCCTATGGTATGCTTAGATCTTTAAAACTACGCAACGGATTTTGATGCGGTTTTTTTTAATAGATAGAGTGATTCTTAAGTAAGGTTTATATGTATATTACACTCGTACGAAGCCGGGGCGGGTCGCTAGTGTGGAATAAATGACGTGTACGAGGGAACTGAACGTACTGCTAAGGAGTGAAACTCTTTGCCAGAGTCTGTATTTCCTAAAGCGTATAAACCTGACTGTCTTCAAGGCCGGAGTGAATATGTTGCTTATGGGACGACGTGCTCCAGCGTAGACCGCATCATCGCTTACGATCAGGCGAGATAGTGGTCAAACGTCGCCCCATTAAATATAAAAAAGGACTTAGCTTTAGATAGGTACTTTTTTCTCTATTACCTATGTCATAGAAGTGATTTTACAACGTTGTGTAACATTTAAAATAGCATGCTAAAGTTCGAATCGTCTTAGAGGTAACAATAAATTTCGTTTACATGTCAAATTCATAGCAATGACAATGACACAGTATTTAGCAAACGAATAACTAAAATATCTAGTATTTGAATCTATTGCGTCTGAATACTGAAATGCTACTCGATTTTAAATTGTATTGATAGGTATATCGTTTATCTAAATTAAATTATAAAGAATTTACAGTGAGAGAATTAGTGTTGAAAGCATTTTAAAATCGATTGACGTAGTTTGTAGTTAATTTACCATTAGTATTTATTCTTATCTAGATTAAAGTGTAGCAACATTAGTAGCGTAACAAACCCGCTGTCAAAGTTTTCGGTTTCCGACTATCCCTAAGTACGATTACAGATGTCTGTATGTACGTAGCACATTTGACCACAAGTGGAAATATAACTAAACTAGCTACTTCCGCGCGGTTTCACACGCTCTCCTCAGCTCCTATGGCCGTTGCGTAATGTTATATAGCCTATAGCCATCCTCGATAAATGCACTATCTAACGCAAAAAGAATTATTCAAATCAGACTTGTAGTTCCGACGATTAGCGCGTTCAAACAAAAAAACAAACTTTTCAGCTTTATAATATTAGTAATCATCGAATGACTGCTCCCGCCTGGGTGAGGCGGGAGGGAGTGTCAGACTCTTACTGACTAAAAACCACCCCGTTCCTTCTCCTGCACGTCGATATTAGTATAGATAGGCAATGTTCGATATAATAGGGTAGATGCCTAATTTTTATTTTTATTTCCGTCTGGTAGATAATTTTAAACTGTCAAACACCAAGCTGTCACCGGTGACCGCAACCTATTGTTCTATAATTATGTCTACAAAACCGGTACTCGACGAGTTAAATCATTCGACACGTATTTTTCATTTTCTTACAGAAACGAATACTTTCGACGATGTATTGATTTAAAATGTCGCGTAACGTCGCGTCGTTTTATCTAAGTATTGTTTTCTTATACGACAAAATAAAAAAATACGTGTCTAATATTTTTTCATTACCTAACATACGGACTAATTAGATTTTTAATTTTCATACTCTGTCATCATCCCAAATATATAACTAACTTCGGCACACGACTAACGTTTGACCACCCTTATGCATGAAAAATGGGCGACTTCAAATTATGGCCACCACGGCATGGGCATGTAACTAACAAAGAGGAATGTTTGTTTTACCTACTATGGACCTAAGAACGAATCTTGAAATCGAAAACACAAATCCAATAAGACTATTTGTAGTAATGTTTATTAAACCTTATACCACTTAAGATAGAACTTCTAATTAAATGGCAGTAATGCCTGGATAAATGTAGGAAGCCATTAGTATTAAACCATGTACTAACTAATCTATTCCAATATGTCGTATAGTCGTGTAATCTTACGCTATCCGATCCTGCCCTAATCCCTATCAGATTCTAGACTTGACTAGA